GGCGCCGCCCGGGCCCGCCCCGAGGGGCGCCAGAGCCACCGAGGGCGGAGAGCGGCTGAAGGAGAGGAGGGGCGAGTCCTGCAGCTTCATGGACGACACTTCCAGCTTCTCCTGCCGCCGCCACTTGGCCCGTCGGTTCTGGAACCACACCTGCGGAAGGCAGCACAGCGGCCGTCGGGCTGCGGCGGAGGCTGGGGCCGCGCCCCCGCCCAGGCCAGTGCAGCCCGCCGGCTCACTCCCCCAGCCCCAAGCAAAACTGGGGCTCCACTGTTTCCCACCTGCTCCTTCACCCCCGCCCCCACCCGCATTATCTTTTCGCTTCCGTCCCGTTTCTCCTTTCGGTGTCTTCCCTCCTCTCTTGCTTCCTCTAAGTCCCTTTGTCCCATCCTGGTCCTCCGTGGCCTTCCACACTTTTCCCTGTTTATCTCACCCATAGCTGGGGTTGTATTTGTTTCCCACTCCTGGCACGTAGCAGGTGCTCACAAAAATCTAAAGTTAACCCTGGAATCGGACCGTAGGACTTGGAAACCAGATCTCCCCAAATTTCTGTGACTTGCTGGTTAACAGCCCCTCCTGACACTTCCGTTCAGACTTTGCTTCCTCCCTGTATGGTACAGCTCGCAGCGGCTGCGTTTTTGTCTCAGACTTTGTGTTTTATCGACCTGTTGTCTCTTTTATAAACATATATAAACAAATACTCTAAGTACTGGAACTGGTAACATTGGGTGTTAAAATATAGCTATTTCCGCGAATTACTGGTGATAATAATTAGTAGAAGAAAGTGCGCTTATTTTGTCCTGAGCATATTTGAATTGCTGCTTTAAGAAGATTTTCATTTTTATTTAATTGATATCCGTTTAGTATTTCTGATATTTCTTATCAATGGCTTTCAATGATTACAATAGTTCAAGTTTATGTCTACTTTTACTTTATGGAGTTAGTTTTGACATTACGGTAAGATGAGTTCAATGAGTTTAAGTTTTTCTTTTTTTGTTTACATATGGAAAAGTCCACGCCAAGAGTGAAGTCTGGTCTCTTAACTTCGATGACTGATTTGACAAAAGCCCAAGAAAGGGTTTAATAAAGGTCTCACCACCAAGTTACCACCCTCAGAAACAGAACAGAGAGAATTGGTCTAGGTTAGCAGAGAATGTGGAGAAAACTTTGGCCAAACTGGTGGCTTCAGTATTATATTTATGAAGGGAAATAGGGAATAGCCGCAGGCAGAAGGGAGAAAGCCATTCTGAGTCAATAAGGTGGGGGGACCACATAGGAGAGCTGAGAAAACAGCCACCTAGCACCTGGGCAGAGCAGGGCAAGGGTGTGTAGGGATTTGGGGGGAGAGAGAAAGAACAAAAATGTAAGTACTCCTGCCCCCTTCCCACAAAAGATTCATCTACATATCTGAGGCCCTGATTTTCCCAGATACATTAGATATTTGACGATAATACAGAAAAGAGAAACACTGGTGTGGGTGAGGGCTCCCATTCCACTGCCTCCTCTGTTTCCCTGCATATCCCACTCCATCCCCCAAAATATCCGCTAGAGTTTTCGAATCTGGTATCCAGAGGCAGAGGGCTAACGACTGGGATAGTCAGCTCTTATACTGCTCTACTGCTGCCCTCCACACAGTTGGAGATTCTTCCTGCCCACTCCCCCACCCCAATCTGATTACATCATAGCCATGTGTTAAGAACCTGCCATATGCTGAGAACTGTGCTGGCCCTGTGGTCACAGAGAAGTCACACTGTTCTCAAGAAGCTCCCAACTTAGAGGAGAAGCCAAAATCCCTGAACAAGTAAAGAGGGAAGAAGGAAAGTGGGACAGAGGTGGCCTCAGGAATGAAGGCAGCCCCTGGGTTGGCTGTGCCTGTATTCTGGAAGGCACTGGAAGGATTTGCCTCTCCTCTTGCTTCAGCTTTCTTGTATTCTTTCTCTCTCCCTACCCCATCCTCCCTCCCTGAAAAGCAGGTGCTAAAAAGCCTACCCCTTCAATGAAATCATTGCAATCAAATTAGGAGATATTGAACTGTCCTTGCCAGTTAATCCTGAGTCACATTAGAAAACTAATTTTTAGAACCATGACATTTACTCCTTACCGTAAACCCCTAAACTAAGCAGAAGAGACAAAAGGCAAGAGTTTGTCCTCTTTTATTTTTAAGACAAAGCTAAAAGCCCCCAAACATCTGAGTATCCTCACTTCCTGGAAATCTAATTCATTAGACACACACACAAATCCCACCTTCGTTCCACTGCCTTTCAGAAGCAGTGAAATTTGTTCCCAATGTCTCCCTCTCAGGCCTCTGTAAACTCTCCCAATTTGGAAATCCTCCCAGATTTTTCACAGATGACTAGCAAATATTTAAGGCTTTCAAATATTTTAATGATCAGGGATTAAGGATAATTCAGCTTTAATTAAAGCAAAAACCCCTTTACAATAAAAAAGAAAAGGCCTCTGCAGCAGCGGGAAGTTTGCGCGGATGTGCACTGGAGAAGCAAAAGTCAGCTTCTTAAACAAATCCACCCCAAGTTTCAACTACAGGCGCCAGGCCCCTCGCAAGAAGACAGGGTTTTCCTTTTGAACATAGGGCTCCAAGCTAGTGACTAGGGTGGCATTTGGGGCCCCAATCCGGTTACCCTTGAGCCGCTGCCTACATTACCTCTCTACACAGTGATCCCCACCCTTCCAATCCTGGCTGCGTCTAATGAGCTGTCCTCTCGTCTTGCCAGCCAGTCCCAACTCCTCTTTTTAGCTTAGAAGAGAGAGACCCCAAAGGGGAGATCGTACCACAAGCTGGAACAGACTGTCCGAGGGGCGGTGCGTGGGGCACCGGGAAGATCTTTGGGGATCTGGGTGAGCCAAGTCGAGGAATGCCAATGGGAACAGGACCATAATAAATGCGTGGACGCCCGGGGACTCAAGGGAGCTTTGGCCGCAGCTTGGGCCTCGGACCCTCCCGGGGACCGATCCGGGCGCTTTACCTGGACGCGGACTTCGGGCAGGTTGACCTTGCCGGCCAGCTCCTCCCGACTGTACACGTCGGGGTAGTGGGACTTCTCGAACGCGCGCTCCAGCTCGTGCAGCTGGTACGTGGTGAAGGTCGTGCGGTTCCGCCGGTGCTTCTTCTTGGGCTGCTCCTCCTCCGACAGCTTCGCTTCGCCCGCGGCGGGCCCGAGAGGCAGCCCCGGGCTCGGCCGCGTCTCCCCGGGCTCCTTGGGGCAGTAGGGGCGAGGGGCTGGGACGACGAGGCCCCGGACGGTCAGAGACACTCTCCGGAGTATCCCCGGGGCCACCCCGCCTACCCATGGGCGCGGGCAGCGGACGCGGGCTCCGAGATGAGCCGGGGTGGTCGGGGGTGAGGGCTGCGAGGGGGTCTCAAGCTTTTAACGCAAGTTGGCAGCTCCTGCTATACACCCAGCCCCCAACCCGCCGCCCAGATGCCTTAATAAAAGTTACGGCAGGGGCTCTTTCCTAACTTTGGGCACCCGAAGGGCCTCGCAGCACCCGAGGGTGCGCGCTCACCTTCGTACTCGGGAGCGGGCGCCGGGGCGGGCGGCGGGGAGGGCTCAGCGCCTCCCCCGGGCGCCTTGGGGCAGGCGGCCCGCGCGCCCGGCCTCCGATCCCGCTCCTTCGCGCCCCGGGCGCCCCGCTCCGCCGGGAACGAGCCGAGGATGCCGTCGTCCTTGGTAAATCCCAGGATGGCTTCGATGCTGTGCAGCCGCGAGGTGCTCCCCCCTGGGCTGCGGAGCAGGTGGCCGGCGAGCGAGAAGCTGCCATCGGCCATGGCGGGGGCGCAGCCAGGCAGGTGCATGGGGAGCGCCGGGCGGCCGGAGGGCGCGGCCCGCCCTCTCGGGAGCGCCGCCTGCTTTGGAGGCAGAGAGAAGAAGCTCGAAGTCGGCTCTTCCCGGGTACGGCGGTCCAACCCGAGGGGTCTGGACCCAAGGTCAGGCTCGGCGGGGGACGCCGGCCCGGTCGCGCGCGCGCTAGAGGTGGGCGAGCTCTCGGCCCGTAGCCCCTGGGTCCCTGCAGGATCGGAAGTTCGGACTCAGGGCAGCTGGCGCTCCGGGCGCTAAAGGCTGCGCGCCCGCTCGCCCCGGCTCCTCCCCTCTCGCCCGGGACCCAGCCTCCTGCCTCGGCCCCTCCCTCCGCAGCGGGGCGGGTCTTTCCTTCGCCCAGCCTCAGGGTCCTCACCCTGCCACCCCAGGCTGGGCTAGCACCCCGAACATCCCACCTCCCATCTCTCGATCCGCTCCACACACTCCAAACACGCCCAGGAGATCGGAGGTGGCCTGCTTGACAAGCCTGGGGACCCGGGTGGGGGGGCACGATCCCCTCAGTCCTGCCTCAATGGGGCCGATGACCTGGGTCTCACCTGCCCACTCAGGCTTGCCTGCCTCCTTGAGCTCACCTCTCTCTCCCGCTCCCCCTACCCCACACTCGCCTCTGCCCTCGGACTCGCTTCCTCCTCGGGGCTGAGCTCCCCGGGCGACCCTTGGAAAGACTGAGCAGAAGGCTTCCTGGCTCGACGGCGTCGGAAGTCAGGCCACGCATCTCCCCAGTTTGAATTTTCCCCTCTCTCCCTCTTTTTCACCCCCGCTGGCACCCCTCTTTCGGCTCCCTAGTCCGAATCTCTGGACTTCGTGTTTATTTTGTTTGTCTATATCTGTTTCAACTCCTCCTCCCTGGCCCCTCGGAGTCGGGCGTGGGCAGGCTCCCTCACTCCAGCGCCAGCCCCGGGAGGCGGAGGGGCCCTCTGTGCCCGCAGGCCCGGTGACCTCAAGTGACCAACAGCCCAGCAGGAGGCTGGGAGGCCCGGGGTCGAACATGCTGCCGGGCTCAGGCCCCGTGGAAGACCTGCTAGGGGTTCCTCACTCTCGACGACTGTTTGTCCTGCAGGAACCCTAGCCACCAAACAGTTCTCCAGGCCAAGGAGATGACCACCCTCAGGCTGAGTGGGGAAGGACCTTCGTCTGGGGGAGAAGGCCTCGCGCTTCCCTGGGGGTTACAGGCGTAATCCCCTTGCATTTCTTTCCCTTTGGGGGCCCCACAAGGCTTCAGTGGCCCAGAGTGAGTCATAGGCCAAGAGGAAAGACGGTTTCTGCAGCGTTTTTTCACATCCCCCCGTGCTGTGAACGCTGGCCCATCTCAAATCTGATGCCAGCCCTGTGTTGGGCGCCTGGCCTTCACTGAACTGTCAGCCAGAAACGTAAACCAAAACGCTTTCCTAAAAGCCTAAGGACGTAGAGATTCTTTTCCTTTTCTCCCCCAGTTTTATTGAGATATAATTGACCTACAGCACTGTATAAGTTTAAGGTGTACAGCATGACGATTTAACTTATATAATTGTGAAATGATGACCACAATTAGTTAACACCCATGGCCTCATACAGATAACAAAACAGAGACTCAAAATCGCCTTTGCAGCAGATGCTCTCATCTCCACGTGGGGAGTCTTTTTCCCCCTACCCTTCTGTTTATCCCCCGTGGCATTCAGACAAGCGTTTACTGTGTCCCCACTGAGGGTCTGGCCCTGATGTGGGCCATGGCAGCACCACCAAAGAAAGGAAAACCCTGGCGCTGGCCCTGAGGAGCTTAACGTCCAGCCTGGGAGACAAGACAAAGAAGGAAAGGAGAGAAAACATGTCTCTTCGGATCCTCCACCTTTAAACTATAGAAGGACATGAGAAAGCATATGTAACTACATCAAGGATCATTAAAGGGTTAATTCGGGCACATGGGGAGGGGTCATTACACAATTCTCTATTTTTAATAAAACTATAAAAAGATAAATTAAAATAGCAAGCTTGTGAGTTTACAGTAGATGAAAATTGAGCTACTGATTCAAGTGAGAAATTATTTTTTAAGAAAAACCTAAATTAATGAACATCAATACGCACTTTCTAGTTTTTGCATATCACTTTAGAGTTTTCAAAATCCTTTCACAGTCTTCACATCATCCAATCCTCACAGCTCTGTGAGGTGAGCAGGACAACTATATTTGTCCCCATTTTACAGAAGAGAAAACTGAGGCTGAAAGTGATACAGCTATTAAGTGGAGGCGTCGGACTAGGACTCAGACCAGCTCACTCCTTGTCCAGTGTTTTCTGGCTGCAGCTCATCTGTAATTATTATTATAGAGTGTAATAGTTTTGAAAAGAATCAAAGTACATCTTAGCCTGCTGTTCACGGTTAATCCTTCCCGGAGACTGAATCCTGCATCTAAGAGGCTGAGGAAGAGGCAGCCTAGCTCCCCAGAGAAATGGAGTCAGAGCCCGTGGACGGCAGCCTTTGGGTACTGGTGTCCAGGACGACTGAACAAACCCTCAGGAGGTTCCCCACCACAGTCCAGGAGAAGCCTCCCCCGGCCCCCGGCCCCCGGCCCCGGGCCCTCCTCAGGCTTTTTAGGCTGTCAAAGGCACTGTCCCTGCAAATGACCTGATGGCACCCCATAAGGTCCCACACACCAGTTATGTGGACCAGGTGGCTGAGGTGCTGATGCTTCGGTGACAGAGGGCAGCGTGGGGGTAATTAATTGGTATTTGTTGTTTCCCCTCTGAGGATGCTTTTTATGTAAACTTCTCCAATATTAAATTGATCTCTATAATCACCACTAAACAAAGATTGGCAGCATTTTCTTAAGCTCCTGCCCACACGCTAAGGGGCTTATGGCCTTGTTTTCCCAAGTTAATTCCTTCTGGAACTGCCCAGCTCTCCCTAATAGGTCCAGGTGAGGTGAGCTTTTATTTACTGTTTATTTCAGAGTCTCCGGAGAAAACCAGAAAAGACTTCAATGGCCACTGGCGAGGGACTAGGGGGAAACAGGGCAAAGCAGGACAAGGGGAGGTTGGGGCTTCCTTTGTGCGGGGCATAAAGAGCTAGTCAATACCATTGTGGGCGCCGTGGAGGGTACTCCAGCGATCAGCCGGGGGTCATTGTTAGGGGCTAATCTACATGTGTATTTCCCAAGAACTCGATTAGGGAAGATGAATGGACTCGGCCATGTCCCTAATTCTTCTAGCATGAAGCTGCATTTTTCCAGCAGTTACGCCAGCTCATAAGCAGCCCGGCTTCGGCAAAAGTAAGGAGCCTGGCTTCTGAACTCCACCCCTGTTTAATTCATTAATTCATTAGGTGGATCAAAGAAAACTCCCTCCTCCCAGCCCCCACATGTGAGCTGAACTTAGACACAGCTAAAGCCCCTTTAAACTTGGCATGACTCAGAGAAACATTTCCAGAAGTGAGAAGACAGGAGGTGGTTGGGGCCTGTGGGAGTGTTAAGAATGTGTTGTGGGAAGGACACTATAGAAGGATAATTGAAGTTGGGGGAGAGATTTTGAGGAGAAAGGGGATAGACGCTGGCTAATATGAAGAAAATGAAATCTAAATGTAACCAGCAATCATGTGAAGTTGTGGGATAAGGTGACTCTTTTGTCTTGGATGTATGCAGGAGGTCCCATTTCTGGAACTATTCTGGGTGGGCTGCTTCACCCACCACGCTCCTGAGAGAAATGGGCATCTGTAGAGTGAATTCCCTGTGCGCTGGGTGGGCATGTGTTCACAAAGTGAGTCCATGCCATTTGAACACACCCTCTAGTAACTTCACCCTGAAGCAATGTCTTAGGTTTGGCAAAAAATGTCCATTGCAAGTGCCTATGTGATAACACTTCATAAAGTGTATAAAATCGACTTGATTGTCTGCATGCAATAGTAGATGTATTTCAATCCTGGAATAACTTCACCTGTCTTATACTGCACTGGAGGACCAGCAACTTAACTTTAGGTATAGCCAGAGCAAAACGTGACTCATATAATCATTAAATACACACACACACTGCAGTTCAACAAATTCTATTGTCAAGAGTTAAAAACAATATGTAACAACAGTTATTATTTATTGGATACTAACTACAGTATATGCCAGTGGGCACTATTCTGAATATCTACGTGGATTACCTAATTAGTCCTCACAATGGCCCTATGAGGTAGACACTGTTATTATCTCCACTTTACAGATAAGGAATCTGAGACACAGAGAGGTTAAGTCACGTGCCCAAGGTTACACAGCTGGCTTCAGGTGGAGCTAGCATTCTCAGGAATGCACCCATCTAACCACTCTGTGTACTACCTCTCAATATAGTGCGAGTATATACATATGCACTGTTAATTCTCCAGTGGCTATAAGAGAACTAGCAGATAAAGTAAAGTAAGAAAATTTGGGAGTCAAAGGATATAAGAATAATAAGGTTCAGAATTTAAGTAACATGGAAGTTAAAAACGTGTGAAGGGCAGTCTATAATTTATTTGGTCAATTATAGTGATGAGAGATATATTAAAAAATATAAATGAAGTATACCATTCAATTTCCCAAGGCTGTCTCATAAAGTTTGGGGAATTCTCTTTCTGTTCTCAGAACCCCAATTCACTATCATTGGTTTGTGAACAATGTATTTTTGAGCCTCTACCACAAGTCATTTATTTTGTCTGCCTTTGATGCTATGAATTCTCGCCTCTACTACACTGTTTATTGTATGCCACGGGCACAATTTGCAAGCTGCTGACAATGCTTGCAAAAAAATAAATAGCTAAACTCTCTCTTCAATACTGGCGTATCGAGTCCAGAGATAGAATACACTCTGCTTGTGCACCTCTCTCTACTGAATCTTCCTAACTGATGAAATATTTTCCTATTTGGACCACCACGGAAGGTATATCAGGAAAACGTTCTTAGAGATGCCTATCAGAAACCCCGTTTTTACAAGTAGACAACTAATAATGAATATCCTTGGCCGCTTTCGTGTTTGGAAGTATACGTCAATTTACTCCTCAAAATGACGATCTGAATATTCTGTGGTATTTTCAGACTAAACTGATGGTATAAGGACACTGCAGTGAATAATAACCCCATCACATAATTGTGGCTAAAACACATAAACCAAGGAAGAGTCAGGCCTCATGTAGGCATTTATGGCTGAATTGAGAGCCCTCTCAGATGGGCATATGGAAACAGACATTTCATTTAATCACGACATGAAACCAAGGGCAATTGAGGGCTGTTGTGTTTCCCGGCAGTAATACCCTGTTTGAAAGACTTC